ATCAGAGGGGATAAGCGTACAATATTAAAAATCTCATATATCAAGTAGATGCTTGTTTCTGTTGAATCATTTTAATTTTCAGTCATCTCAATCTACTTTAAAATTACTTGAAGATGGAAAATAGATCTATACAGATTTTAGGTACTTCATAGATGTTTATCAGAGTGCCTTTGAAATGGCTTCCAGTTTGAATACTACAGAAACCGATTCAGAAGTTTGAAATAATAGTGTTGTCCTGTCACGAAGTGATCAACGACAAAGAAAATAAGAAGATAATTCTCCCCTGTGCTCCTCCTGAGAGGAGAATAGACCCTATTGTTCCAAATGAAACTGATAACCTGTAGCAATTTTAAGCAAGTCAGATTTCCAAATACCTACTTGCATAACTCTGTGCCTTTAACTGCTTCTGTTCATTCTTTCTGTACACTGCTCCATTACCTCCTTTTAACCTAGGTTTTCAGTAACAAATTCTCCCGGAGAGACTGGCAACAGTTAGAAGGTCTACTTCGGGTAGGGCTGAACAGAAATTGTAAAGATTATTCAGAGATGGCCACGCCAATATATTGATTTAAACTCAGTGTCACTTCCATGTAAATTTGTTACCTTTTCTACCTCCTTTTGTATTCAATGCATTCTTTCAATTTTCTACAAAGACTACAATCCATGCAGGGCTAAAATTAAACAAAAAAACAACTTCCAAAGTGCGTGCAAGCTCTCTGGATCTTGTCTGGAATATGGAGTTAGGATTTGATTTGTTGAGGCACTGGTTCTTACAATCTAAAGCTCCAGAAACCTTATGCGAAATGAAAAAATATTCCTTTTTGCAGAGTGAATCCTGCACAATCCCTCAAACTGGAAGAACAATGAAAGTATACAGATAGCATGAATTTTCCAAATATAATCCCTGTGACTGTATTCTGTTTTACAAAGGACTACCATTGGCAATAAAAAACAGGAACGTCATCAAGGTTCCCCAACATTTTGCCTTAACAGGTTCACGAAGCTTTTACAACCCAACAGGATACAAACGTACACACAGGTACAGGTAGCTCCGGTTACTCGTTAGAAGCAGAAGCAGTTTAATCTATGTAAAGGGAACTGCAAGGCTGACCTTTACAACTAAAAAGTGGAAAGTTAAAAACAAATTAGTGGGTGGGTGGAACCACACAGTAAGTACCTACTCATCCCTACATAGCCTGATACTTCTCAAAGAATGCACTTAAAGCAAGAAAGACCTTTTACACTCTTTTTGGAAGGAAAGGCTGAGATCAAAACACGTGATATAGATGGCACAACATATTTAAAATAGATATTGCTGCACTGATCAGTTAATTTTAAAAAAGTATGCAGACTGGATTAAACTGTACATGATGCTATAGCCATAAAACCACGCGCGATACTGAATGGTTAGGTAACTCATCACCCAAACCAATATTTGTGGGGAATCACAGCCAAGAACAAGGTAAATTTTTAAAAATCTGGCAAACAACAAAGATTAATCCCATGAAGTTACTTATAAAAATGCAAAAGAAAAAGTCCGTACTGACTGACCAAAGGAAATAACGCTCATTCTGTCAGTAGACTTCAAAGATAAGACAGAATCCACTCCAAAAAAGCCACACAGAACAAAAAATAAAGGTGTTAGGGTATGGCTTACTACGCACATGCTACGCTGGCTTTTTGTTGTTGTTTCTTCCTACTGAAGACAGAACCCTATCAGGTACTGGGTTCTTGGTGAGTTTTGAATCTGTTTTCAGTGAACTGGAACAAGTTAGATAAAGTTGTTTATATGCTGTAAATCTACTTTCCCTGAGCTGAAAATGTGTTAGCTAATGGGTTGTTTATGAGTTGCAAATCTGTTCAGTGAGGTGAAAATTTGTCAGATAATGGGTTGTTTATGAATTCTAAATCAATATTCAGTGAGTCGGAACTATGTTAGATAATAGCTTGCGTACGGGTTGTAAATCTGTTTTCAGTGAACTGGAAACATGTTAGATAATGGGTTGTTTCTGGGTAGTAAATCTGTTCTCAGTGAGCTAAAAACATATTAGATAATGGGTTGCTCGTGAGTTGTAAATCTGTTTTTATTGAACTGGAAACCTGTAATAAAGGGCTCTTTATGTATCTTAACTCTGTTTTTAGTGTGCAGAAAAGTTCAATAATGTGTTAGATTTGAGTGGCATATCTGATTTCAGTGAGGTAGAAAGCCATCAGCTAGTGGATTCTTTATGAGCAGATCTACATTCAGTGAACTAAAAATCTGGGACAATATATAATGCACTCTATTTTCACTATTTGAGTCAAATAGCGAGTAAAGGTTTGCATGATTTGTAGATGTCAATGTAATGAGGTAGAAAGGGGTTGTAGAATTGTTAGAATCACACTAGACATTTCTGATGTGGTTTTGAATCTCTTCCTAATAAAGTAAAACTTGTTACAGATGCGTACTAATAATTTTGGAGGAAAAAAGATAGCAAAATCAATGTCAAAGGTGTTATTTTTCAATCCTGCAATGAAACACTATTAACTAAAATCTCTCAGCTGGATTCCATTTAATAATTTTTGTGCAATTTTAGTTAACATGGAAATCAGAAAAGTTTAGAATTTTGCATCTTCCGGTGAATGGAATCACTGGTGTCAACCAGTCTTACTACTGCTTTTTCCTTTATAGGTACACACTGTTGGTCAAATACTTCCACTATATCAAGCAGCCTCATGAATTGTTTCCTGTTTACAGTGAGACAAAATCATGTGCAGACTGTGGAAAAGAAGGTTATGTAGTACAAAAATACCAGTTTAAAATGAATGACTCAACATAAAGAAAAGGGGGTTAAAACACATGAAGGAGAACAATAAACTAACGTATACTGGGATGTGATATCCCTTCTCATTTACAATGAAAAAACAACTGAAGCATTTCTAGAAAACAAACATCATTGTTCACAAATACATCCCAAGCACATACAGTAAATTTTTTGCAAGGACAGAAAATTTCATCTGACATTCAATTATTCAGAGTGCTGACTCTGCTAATGAAAAATGAAATCGGGCATATTAAGATTACAAGTAGAAACACTTCCTAACAATTTCTTAAAAGTGTAATTCTCAACTATGCATTACGAAATGTCTTTAGCTCTTGTATAGCAACCTATTATAAAGTAATGAGGAATACTTTATTGTTCTTTAAAAAAAAAATAATCTGCATTTGCACTTCACCAGTATTTTTTTCTCCTCTTTGTCTGTTTTAAATGTAAAAATTTCCAGGGGATTTTCATGTAATACTTTTAATCTCTTCCTATAGCACTAGAGTTAAAACAGTGCTTGTATATCACCACTGCATATTTCTGTGAGCTGGTTGTATCTCTTGCATGGCTAACATCAACTTTGAATCCCCAGGTTTTAAAGCCTTCCTGGGAGTAATCAGAGCATCTGACAACATTACTTAGTTTCTCTTTACCATATCTTAATACAGATATCATTAATTCCTCTAAAATATGCACACATAAAAACTCTAAGTAAAAAAAAAGGCCTTGTATTTGAAAAATGCTTTTCCATTCATTAGTGTCAACAGATTTCATGATCGCAAATACCTTCCCAGAAGCACAGTGCAGAAGTACATAATGATACAATTATCCAATGTCAGTTGTAGAATAATATTTCGTCAGTTTGCAGCTGTTTAACTTTTCTTTTCTAAAAATGCTTCCATTACCATGCAACAGCAAAGGGTGATACGTTCCACATCAAATGTACTTCCATTTTTCCTCATCACTTTCTTTGGTCTTGTTATTAAACTGTTTGACCCAAACCAATAGCTAAATGTAGCAATGCCATAGGCAACACATGACATCAGAAATTCAGATGGGACTGAAAACCAGTTACTGGAATCAACTGCGGCCTCCAAAAAAAACAGACACTACTCAAAAATGACAAGGAAGAGAACAAATACAGTAAATATATGCATCTGATATCTGACTACAGATGAATAAGGTTTATCGTGTATTTGAGAACAATTAAATTGGAACAGAAATGGAAGAGAGCAGTTTTTAGATTCTTAATTTTTGTAGCCATATTTTTGGATGTTTAGCATTAAGGATACTTTTCTTACATATCAGCATTCAGATTTTTCTTGAATTCTAATTTTACCATGACAAACCATGATAACTTTTTATGTACACCCTGTTTTAATGTTATGTTGGACTTCGTTGATAAAGATTTTAGTGCCAGATCCTCAGAAGATTTCACTGAGCTGCAAAATATGTTTTGTGTCTTGTCCTGAAGACTTTGGTGATGACATCGGCATCAATTCCTTGACAGCAGTGTCAGGCTTCAAGTTTTCAGAAGCTAAGAAAATGTCAAGTTTCATACAACTCCTCGTACTAGTGTGGAGAATGAAGGCATAGTAAACATGCGAAGGTATGGAGCAAGCCTCTACTAAAATGGACAATTTTGTAGGTTGGAATTTGCCTCCGATTATCACTGAGCACAAGTCGCTTTTCTTGTGCTCCCTACAAGAAGGGCGAGTCAACTGGACACGCTGACAAGGGTCCTAATATTTCATACTGAGCAATGGTTATCTCAGCAGAGGTATCTTACAGTACTTCACCCCCACTAACTAGAAAAATAAAAAACTAATAGGTTTGTGGCGTAAGGAGACTTCTTTCATTTCTAGGCATTGCACAATGAGGTTTTGTTTCAACAGTAAAGCTCCTTAAAATCACAGTAATAAAAATTAAGCACCGTTATTAGCACTTCTGTTTTCTAGTACATGCTTTGCACATCGTAAAATTGTTATAAAACAAATTATTTTGAAGTTATAATTCTAAAGATAATGTTTAAACATATGTTACAGGGATAAATTACAATAATTGTGTCATATACTTAAGCATGGCAAAACTTTATTGACATTTTTTACTCTCTAAAGTCAAGTAATTATCAACTTTTCACTTAATAAAGTTTATTTTAATAAAATATGTGTTTTGGGAAATAATTTTTTTACTTACTTTCAATTAGCACTTTTCTGCCAGCCCAGTTGTCCTTAATTACTTGTATATTTCCAAAGTGTGCATCACTGAAGAATATGCGATTCGTACCTCTTCCTTTCAGACTGTAGTCAAAAGCAAGAGCTATCACATTTTTGAAGTACTCTGGATTTTCATATGGCCTTACTGGTGAATTTAAGTTGGTTTCATCTGAAAGATGTATGCTTTTTAATATTGTCCTTCCCGAGTACAACAGGTAACCTTCATGTCTCAGGCAAGTGATTCCGTCTTCTGCAAGATAGCCATGTGCACAAGCACATGTTCTCTGTGCATTTCCCCGATAAAGGCAAAGTTGATGACATCCACCATTATTCTTGGCACAAACATTAGTACCTGTACAAAAAACCCAAAAATCTATCTTTTATAATATTGCACTCAGCTAACTTAAATCAAACCACAATTTTATGTATTCTAAGAATTCTTCTCTTAAAACTGTTTCTACAACATTCACAAGTAAAACAAAGGCCGAAACAGTAAAGAATGTGACTTTAACTGCAACCTAAAGACATTTTTAAGAGTACAATTAGTGAGGAAATATAATTAATGTCCTTTCCAATTCACAAGAGTATCTATTTCATGAATAGAAAATGATAAAATGGATTATTCCTCCATAATCAGCTGAAGACTTGGAGATGGATTCAAGTGCTTTGAAAGATATACATTTACTATTTTATTTTTTTTTTAAAACACCTGTTACTGGCAAAAGTCCAATTTAGATACCATCAGAATACAGTACTGGTTTTAGATATTTTCTATCAAAATGAAAACATATACAAAACTGTGTCAATCCAGTTCCCTGTTTTTAATAAAGACATTTCCTAACATTTTGTTCTAATTTCCTTTAAAACCTGACTTTAAAAACTTACTCCCTGAAAAATGCATACCATTAAAAAATCATTGTCAAATTAGTAACTTCAATGACTTAAACTACACTTGTTGCAAGCAATATTTAAAATTACAGTAATTGTCAATAATTAGGAGCTATTTTCCTCTGTCTTTTTTGGACTATGCATGAATTACTATTGTAGTCAGTTTAGATAATTTAGTTTCTGTTTCTGACAGCACTTTCCATGTAACAACTCAGCTCTTTCAATATAACCATTTTCCCATTTCTGAAAGTTTTCCACATAGCAAAGGAGAAGAAAACATTTTAAATAGACTGTTTTCACATAAAAAAACGTAATAGTTGTTGGGGAATATGTAGTGCCTGAAAGTATTGTTGATTGTATTTCTAACTGCTACATTCCAAGCTGAGGATACTTTTACGAAAAAATAATGGGGAAAGATAGTTAACTTGCTCTTAAAATCAGAAATGCTGAAGTTTGTGTTCCTGGGCAAAAATGAGATATTTCTCTACAGTTATGTAAAAACACTTGGGGATTTAGCCGTATACATTTTTACATTTGGTTTGTTTTAAAGATTCTTTTGAAGTTTTATTAGGCTAGAAAAGTTAATATCTGTTTGGAAGGATGAGAGGTTGAGAAGAGAAAGGAAAATATATGAAAGAGATCCTCAACATTCTAAAATCTCTCTTTGAAAACTTCAATGCTTCCACAGGTCACCAGCTCTAAATATCTTTAAAAATGGCCAATTCTGAAACTAGTGTAGTTAGGGAATATCCTTACACACATGTAAAATAGCACTGAAAGGCAAGAATCTGCTTGCGAATCGCACTGCAGGACTGGCTCATCAGAAAGGGTAAAACAGGTGTTTGAAAAAAAAGCATTAATCACAATCAGCACAGGTTGTTGGGTTTTTGTTTGGGTTTTTTTGTTGGTTTGTTTGGGGGTTTGTTTGTTTTAATAACAGAAGGTCAGGAAACTAGCTAATTACAATTTTTCAAAACAGTGTTAACTACTTCTAGTTCAATGAACTTAAAAAATATATATAATAGTGTGATATAGAAAAACATTCCAAAAATATTTTTCACCTGTTTTTTTCCCTTTTGTCCTTCTGGCTCACTGACAGCCCCTCCCAAAGACATTAACCATTTGTACCCTAGTAAAATTTGAAAAACGTATTAAAAAATCATCCAGTTATGTTTTTCAAACTAACATCAAAAGATTTTTAGGCTCAGTAATCATTTCTCCTATTGCTATTGCGATCAAATCTTTAAAGCTATCAATAAAATCATTACATTTAAAGAAGCATTTTTTATCCAATTGTTTTATTTTCCTAACACTATAATATAAAGCCCTTCCAAGCAAGCAGACATTAACTATTTCTAGCCTAGTTAAAAGAAACTATAAGTTTTTGTGTGGATTTTATTTTCATCCACAATATATGATGCCCACAGTAGTCTGAAATTACATGCAGAAATACATCGTAAAATTAATATGCATGTCTGCAAAGTGACTTTTTTCAAAACTATTTAAAATTTCCTTTAGAAAAAAAAGACAGTTTTTCTTTTTGATTGTTAAAGATGTTTTCTTTCAAAATGTAAATTTCTTTTACAAGTCACATCTAATGTGGTTATTTAGGAAAGATGTATATAAGAGAAACAGGACCTTTGGGTATGTAATGTTGTGATTAAAGCAACTTCTGAGCGCTACCAACACCAGAAATATATTTGTATTAAAAAGTTTATCTTGTATTATAGTAGCATTTTCTTTTTCTCTCTTTTTGAATATATTTACAGAAATTTTTGTCTGGATTGACTGGTAGCAGTTTGTTCTGAGGAAATCATCATCATTTTTGGTAGACTTCTAATCACCTTTGCTCACTGAAACAAGTTTTTCAACGTCTTTTCAAAACCAGAAATTTAGGAAGAAGATAGTTAGAAATAAGATTATTCTTTGTCAGGTAGTAGAGAGTAAAATTTAACCATTGATACCACATATCACTGAGAGTATATGATAAGTTTTGTCTCTTGAATTTGCAAAACAAATTGATTATAAAGGAAATCGGTTTATTTACAAGGTCTCTTCCCACACAAAAAAAAAAATAGGACTCAAACCCAAGGAATTTCAGAAAATACACATTTGAGACACAGAGGCTGGGAATTTCTAGCTGTGAAAAAAAAATACTGTGGCTTGCTTTCCAAGAGAAATCTGAGACTGACTGAGGTTACTGCTCTTTAAAGCACAGTTCAAGATCCCTCTCATTCCCAAGACTGTTTTTTGCTTTTCAAAAAAACCCAAAACAAATAAAACCAAACCCAAAACAAAACCACCAAACCTGGAATGATAGGAAGTGTTTTGGTTTTATATTTTCTCCTTAAAACACTCAGAAGAATTTTGGTAGAATTTGTCCTATATGTTTTCTTTTTAATTTTAACTTTAAAAAAAAAAACAAACTTCAAAAGTGAAAAGTGGAGATAAAATCAGTGATTACTTAACTTTTGGTATGCTTTAACATACATAAAAAGTAGGTGATATTAAAACAATTAATAGCATCCTTAAGAACAGCCAACCTTTCTCTCGTGCTCTATTAAAGACTTTCACTTCCTTCAGGTTTATTCCAAGGCCAGTCCTCATGGTCACAGCATCCGTGGCCTCATTCTTGTGGCCTCTTCTAATAGAGCCATTTGCATGTGCTCTGCCAAAAAAGTTGAAGATGTCTCATCAACAATCCTCAACTAATTCACACCAAACAAATGACTGAAGGGCAGCGGAGAGTTCACCTAACAGAAGGTGAAGAAACCTTTTCTCATCTATGACACTGATATGCTTTAGCTTTCAGTATCAGAAACGCCCTTTCTTTGGAAATTGCGTAGCTTTCTGCGATCCGTTCTGTGACCTTGCTAAGGAATGGCTAATCCTACAAAGGTGAAGCACCTGGTACTGAAATAACACTCTGAGACTCAAATACTTATGAAAAATAAATTACCTGTCAGACCAGTAGATGTAAGCTCCAAACACCGCGACTGAAAACATATCCACATTGCTCCCTGACAGCACAATCTCCCGATTCCCTCCACTCTCAAGGTCAATTCTTTCTATCTTGTCGGTACGAGCATCACACCAATATAATTTATTTTCCTAAAGATTAATTTCAAAGGAAATATCAACAGTCTTGTCCAAGTATTTCGTTAAGGGTTATTAAGATTACATCAAGTGGAAGACCAGCTGGCTTTAATGAAACATAACAAATACTGTACATTTTAACATATACTGGAAGACAAAGGAACTAACCTCATAGTCGATGGAAATTCCATTCGGCCATGCAATCCCCAGGCTCACAAGCACAACCTTCTCAGATCCATCTAAGTGTGCCTTGCCTATGCAAGGAGTCTGTCCCCACTCTGTCCAAAATAAGTACCTAAAAAGTTATAGAAATTACCAAATAAAATACCATCAAAATAAGAGCTGAAAATGTGTAATATTGTACTTCAATTGGAAACAAAATGCATCATTACCACAGGTATTTAAAAAACATAAGGCTCATGCCTCTAAATAATCTTAAGAGATTAAGTGTATCATAACACTTGTTTCACAGAACACTTTGTTGAGAGATTTTTTGCAAATGATACATATGAAGCAAGTCTTAAAACTGTAATCAATCAGTCAATATGCAATTCCATTCCTTAAAGAATTCAGCTTTGCGCTTGGGAAAATGAAAGCAAATTAGAAAAAAAATTACTGAACAGAAGCTCTCGCATCTAATTACTAACAAATATGATAATACAAGAGATGTGTGTCTTATTCAGAAATGTCTTAAACATGAAGCAGTGAGGAGCACTGTGGGAAATGGTAGAGCAAAAAGGGATTTTATTTTGGAAGAAAATATTTCTCCTATTCCCCCTAATGCACATGGGAAAAATCTGCATTTTACTTATCTTATATTTTAAATTGCTGTTTACTTACTGGCACAGTAACACCACTATCTCAGGGTAAGATGCTAGGTCAACTGCTGCCTTGACCTCCTGCTTCTCAATCTGTTGCTTCAGATATAGCAACATGAGGCCAGTGAATCTACACAGAGCACTTCCTTTACTGAACAGTAACCTACAGAATAGCTTTAAGTAAACGTCTATGTGTCTAAAAATAGATATATATAATACATTTTAACGCAAATATATGTACAAACACACAAATATATATATTCTGAGCAAGAAATCTCCTTCTAAGACAACATAATTGAGGTCTAATGTGTTACTATTCCCCTGAAGAGAAGCATTTTGATAGCAAATATTCATAAGCACGCACTAAAACATTGTTTAATAATACGCTGAACACAAAGTCAGCAGAACATACAAAACCATTCTCCATTGTTTTTCTCTGTGTGGAACGTATACATTAGTCTGTTTTTAAAGATTACAAAAGTCTTCTGTGCATTACTAGCCTGTTCAGACAACCCCTGAGTCTGGTGATATCACTATGCCAATCTATTGGTATATTTGATTGAGTGACTGCAGATATGTGAAACAAAGAGGGATAAAAATGGGAGAGGGAAGATCAAATATGGACCCTATAATTACCTCATCAGATTTATCTTCTAAAACATTTTCCACCTTACTTTGGCTCTAATTGTAGGACTTTCTGACTATAACAACAATGAATTTGATTCTCATACTTCTTGACATAGCAAACAATAATACACATACTAACTATAAAACTTATTCTACATGAGGAAATTGAACTTCTACATTAGCTAAATTAAAAATATGTTTTAGAAATGTTAAAATAGAGGGTATTAGCCAGCTGGATATCAACAATCACTGCTTAAGTTTAATACAACTTTAACCAGATTACTAACAGCACCTCTGAACAGAATTGAACTTCCTTTTGGGCATCTAGTCAGAGGTATTTTCTTAACACAGGACATCAACTAAATGTTGACTACAGAAAGGCAGGCATTCAATATACTTGAAATAAACATTCCATGCTCTTCCCTTAGACTAGTTACTCTGAGGAAAACAAAACAAAAATAAATAAACCAACCCCCCCTCATAATTAGCAGGTTAAATGACTCTAGAATCCCCCAAACAGAATCCTGAGTAGCTGCCAAAAATGTAAGGCAAGTTACTTAATACTCTCGTAGAGTATTAATGATTATAAATATATTGATATATAAACTTACAACATAAATTATTAACTAGTATAGAAAAACCTGATATTCCCCTATCTTCACAAAAGGTCTGGGAAGTACCATCTAAAATACTTGTTTCCTGGACCTTTGGTAGGTAGCAATGTGTTACCAACACATTTGGGGTATATACAACAATGCTAGAATAACTATGACAACTTATTTTGGAGTTATCCCATATATAATTTACATAGGTGACATGGAGATGCAAGTGGTGGAAATTTGCTGTTGGCCCAGAAGTTTCAAAAAAAAAAAAACTTCTTTGGAAACAATTAAATCAGAGTTTAAACCCCCTTCCCCTTGCGCTGCCCCAAACCCTGAACACAAATGAAATTCCCAAAATGTTTTTGAAGGAGGTATCTTCAAAGTCTAAGAATTATTTCAGTATGAACTTAACTCCACATTTCAATCACAATTCTGAGCTTGATCAAAAAACTATTACTTAATTGGAAAAAAAAAAAAAAAAAGTCAGCCACGTGTATGTTCTGTTAAGAAGTATACCTGATGAGGGGCAAAGACACTCCTTTGTAGGACTACACATTCTTAACTTGTTCCTTAGTAACAATAAATAATGTTACCAACCAGCTGAATCCTGGCTGCTTCATATCTTGGTATAACTGGCAGGTTCAACGAGATCTAATAACTGCTATTTTCCTTTCCATTCTTATAGCTGTCAACTCAAGCTTCAAGAGAAATGAAGAATGTGAAGTCAGGGTAAGGGGAGGGAAG